AGGGAGGCGGCGGGGGGCGGCGGGGGGGGACGGGAGGGCGAGGGCGATGCGACGAGGAGGTGGAGGAGAGGGACGACATCTGGCGGAAGGGGAGGGCGACGAGGGGGCGGAGGAGAGGGGCCCAGACCCCCAGCATCTGGAGCAGCTCGGCGCCGGTCTGTCGCGCCGCTCGCGGCCGCCAGGGGCCCTCGCCGCGCACGTGGGCCGTCGAGAAACGATCCCGGATGAAGAGCAGATGCTGGGTAAGAGCTCCAGACCCGGGGTCGGGGGGCCCCGCGTTGGGACACCCATCGAGACGTCGGGCGTCTCGGGGGGAGGGGGAGAGGGAGGTTCTTTTTAGTCATGTTCGGGGGGGGTTGCCGCTCGCGCCTGGGGGGTGCTCTCGCCTCAGGGTGCTTTCTAGCACCTGCGCCTCGCCGAAGGCCCTCCGAGGGCGCCAGCATCGCCCCAACGCCGGAAGCCCGAGCCATGAGGCGGGCCCAAGGAGTATACACCACCACCACGTCGATTCATTCTCCCTCCTCTACCCTCTTCTTCCTCGCCTCTTTCCTGGGAGAGGGAGGGGGTGAGGGAGGTGGTGGTGGTGTAAATGTGTGGGCCCCGAACATGACCCGAAAGCGGGGTGGCGACGGGGTGGCGGCGGGGCGACCGCACACCGGCCAGGGCACCGCCCCGGCCCGGGTGCGGCGGCGACGAGGCGGCGACGAGGCGGCGACGAGGCGGCGGCGGGCGGCGATGGGGCGGCGCCGGGGCGACCGCACGCTGGCCGGGGCGCCTCGCCGGCCCACTGCCCTGCAGAACCGAGGGAAAAAAGCGAAGCGCAGGCAGAGTTCGGGGGGAAACCTGAAGTTAATAGCCAGCGCGGGCCCCGAGCGTCGCGATCTGGCACGGGACGCGGTGCAGCCAGTGTGGGGCGCTTCGCCTGGCACAGCTTGGCGCTGCCATGTCCACTGCCCGCGCAAGCGCCCCACTGCCCCCTCGCAATCGCTCCACCATCCGGCCCGCAACTCGGCTTGCTGCACCCATGCGGCGGTGATTGCGATGGCTGCTTGGCGCTGGCTGGCACATCTAGGCGGCCGCGCTGGCGCGTGCAAGCTCGCGCGCAGAGCGGCCAGATACATTGGCGCAGCCGACGCGGCCGCGGTGGCGCTGACCGCCAGGGGCTTCCCAGCGCGTTTCACGGGCCGCAGTGGCGGGCTGGCGTTTCAGTGCGGGTCGGTGGCTCGGGCGGGCGCGGCATCATGTTGACGTCGCCAACGGCGGAAACGATGATGATAGTAGCGATGATGTTGGCGATGGTGACGGAGACGAAGGCAAGGCCAATGACGGCGCCGATGCTGATCACTCCGATGACGATGGTGGTGTCCATGTGTCGGTGATGCAGGTTCTGGAGGGATTTCGACCTGTGCGCGTGGCCGACGCGGAGGAATGGCCCGTGCGAAATGATTTGGCAAGGGTCGCCCCGCCCCCCTCCCAGCAAGCGCGCAAGGGCGTTCGAATGATTGTGGCATGCGCGCGCGAGGCCCGCGCAGTCTCATTCGACCAGAATGTTGAGAATTCAAAGATTTGCATAGAATTGGCAGCTGTGCGCGCAATTTTTTGGGACGGGTAATCTTGGACAACCTTGCGTTTTCGTATGTTGTCGTGACCTTCGGTCTGCATATCCATACGAAGCCTTTGATTTTTAAGGGGTTCCGACATGTGCGCGCGATCACGCGCGCGCGGACTGCAACACATACTGTGTAAGGGATCCCTGGACATTTGTATCCGTTGATAAACCAGCGAGCGCATAAAATTACGTGCTGGCAGGAACGAGGGTGCGATAAGGAGACTGCCTGGGAAGGAATGGGATCATGTGGACATGAACGATGGGGAACAATCAGGTGCAAGTTGCAGGGCCCGGAAGGGGGCGATACACTCGTGGATGGGTGGTGGGGCGGGGGGGTAGAATCCATATCGATGTGAGAAAAGATACTCGATGTGATGCCGGATCTGTGTGCATATGTAAATGATTGTTGCATATAACATACGAGTAGAGATCTACCCAGTGCAAGATATGTGGTGAAATCAGAGCGGTGCAGACTGTACGAATGCTCAATCGTGCGTTGACAAGTACTAGTGCAATAATGAAAAGGACCCGCCCGCATCTTGGTTTGCAAAACCCATGCAGCGGCGAATGCGACGACTGCACGACGCTGGCTGGCGCATCGGTGCGGCCGCGCTAAGGCGCGCAGGCTCGCGCGCAGAGCGGCCAGGTAGTCTGACGCGACCGACGCGGCCGCGGTGGCGCTGACCGCCGGGGACTCCCCACCGCTTCTCGCAAGCTTCGCTGACGCGCAAGCACTTCAGAGCGGGTCGGTGCATTGGGCTGGCGCGTCGACAACGGCAGGCACGATGATGGTAGTAGCGATGCTGGTGACGACGACGATGACGACGGTAAGGCTCATGACGACACCGATGCTGCTCACGTCGAGGACGACGATGGTGTCCGCGTGTCGGC